TACTACTTTGCTACTTTTCAAATGTTCGTGCTTTTTAAAGATTTTTAAAAAAAAATAATTTTGTCTGTGAATACAGTTATACGATCTAAATGAAAACACTACCTGTACTTGGACCTCACATCATCCAGCCTAATATTATCATGTAAGCAGGCCTTAAAAAGGTGTCATGTATTATTGTTTATAGTCATAATTTGGGTTTTAAAACACCTGCATGTAACTGTACAACAAAACATTGAAGTATAGAAACGACATTTAACTTGTGGTTTGAAAAAGGCAAGGGGAAAGGTTGTATTTGTTATATGGACGAATGATTCTACAGAGGGGGTGAAAGAACTATATTGTGGAAAGAATTGACTAAGCTTCTGGACAGAAAGAGCAGGTCATAGACAGCAAGAGACATTCGGCAATTGGGGACAGCTACGCTCGAGTTTCAGTCATCTCGGCTGACTGGGGATGTAACGAGACATTGGTGCGTTGCAGTTCTGTAAAAAAAGCATCGGGTCCGTGGTTTATCATCTATCCAAGGGGCTTGATTGAAAGACATTTGATATATGGTACTGGATTCCCAGAGCCGGGCGTATTGGGCTGCCGATGCACTTGTTAATTTTGAACTTACCGTTTTTATTATTTTCCAGACCACAATTGACCCATATTCATATATAGCAAGTGTGGATTTTGTATTCTCACACCACCCCACAGGAAATGCTTCGCCAACATAAATGACGAATCCAGAGGTCTTTTCCAATACCAATAAAACTCCTACCAAAAATTACAACACTCAGCAATCAATACTTACATTTATATGCCCCCAAGTAGCTCTTATGTGGCCATGCACACGCTGACAATTACAGTGCGTGTTACTTAAAACAAGGGGGCCGTTGGGCTATTCGGAAGGTTGGGCAGCCAATAAAATGAGTGTGTGCCAACACATGGGGTTTCTAAACTAATAAAATGGGCTGTAACGGAAAACTAATATTACATAGCGGGCCGTTTTCTCATATGGGCCATCCTCGTTCTTCCATAAAATTTTCATACGATCACAAATAACTTCCATGCTGAGATTTTTTTTTCCCCTTTCTCCCCCACCACAGCCCGTTCACGTTGTTGCGCAGCCACATTGTCAGTGAGAAAGGACTGAACGTTGAGCGTTTTCCCCTCCTAATCCAGCGAGGCCGCCTTTCACCATTTCAATCTTTTGTGTCTCCAATAAATGATATTAAATCATGAATATATATTTAATTCTGCTTTGTCAGCTCTTAAAAAAAGAGACGGGATGCGAAGGTATTATTCCGTTTCAGCCACAAAAGGAGTGCTGCACTGGCGCTCATGTGCTCGTGTTATTACCGTGTGTACAGTGCACATGCTGAATAAGTGCGTGTGAGTAGCATCGAATCACGGACCTGATTCGTACGTAGGTAGAAAAGCAATTGGCCGCTATTTTCTACAAAATTGGCTGTTTTACCTGAATTCAGTGGAAACTGCCTTTTCTCCATTATGTGATTCAGTGTCTTGTTGACCAGCACGTGCTGTGTGGGTTGTTGCGGGTCGTGTGCTGTGGAGCTCTCCGATGTGTTTTTGGGTCATACCGTGCGTTTTTCCTTTCAGTGCGATGTATGACATTTCGCTTTCACGTGCTTTGAGCTTAGGGATACAACCTGAACAAAAAAACACACTTCGTCGAGAGATGTTTGAAACCTCGTCTCAATTATTTACAGAACACGACCATTCAAGACCATATGCGATTTACAAATCCACAGTACTATTGAGAAACAGGACACATTACTGGAATTAATATTTTCTTCGCAAGTACATTTCCTGTACGACTCATAGACTTCCCTTTTGCTTTCTTAGAGATACTGGATACACCTACTGTATAAAAACAGTATTAAAACCTGCCCTGTAGCTGTTGGTGATTTACGTAATTTTTAATCGCAAAGGAAGATAAATGAATACATGTATTTGTATATTTTTATTTACCAATTTTAAAAAAATGTATTTTGACGCTAATCCATCCTTGTGATCATCAGCGTCTTATTAAATCATTGATATGCATTTTGTGCTTTGAGATGCTAACAATGACTTTCTGATTATATAGTGACCCCACTCCAACCTTTCTCGGAGTGAATGTGGACTGTACGCTAACCTTCCACGACCTGGTTGTGAAACTAGCAAGTACAAGCTGCGGACCATCAGCATCAGTGCTATGAACATCAACCATGGTCCGTGTGTACTCTGTAGCCAAGTACTGTGCACCAGTATGGACCATAAGTAGTCACAGTCGACTTGTTGATGTACAACTGAGCACTGCAATGCGGTGTGTCACTGGAACCCTCAAGTCGACCCCAACAACCTGGCTGCCCGTTTTGTCACAAATATTTCCCACAACCATCTGCCGATCTGCCGCAATGCTGCAACCCTCCAGGAAGTCCTGTAAATCGAGGAAAACAGTAGTCTTCTCATGCAAGCCAATTCTGACTCATGCGTTTAAACTTCAACAATGCAAGTAAGACCCCGATCAAGCTATAAAAGCTGAATGGAATTCAAAATAACTTAAAACAGCTGGTGAAAGGCCCAATGCAGAATATCCCTGGGTTTCATCTTCCACAAAGCTCATGGTCAACCCTAAACCGCATCCGCACAAACCATGGTAGATGCAGAAACCTGATGCACAAATGTAAAATTAAACACTCTCCAGTGTGCGACTGTGGTCATCCAGACCAGACCATATCGTTTTACAACATAAAACGATACAATGCTCCTGACGCGGTCGTCTGACTTGACCACCTGAATGTGAAATTGTAGTTGTTGCTCTGCATCTACATTCGCAAATGAAAGGAAGAAGACTTATTTTAATGTCATTGTAAAAACCTGTTTAGCTAAGAATAAATCCATTCAAATATTTGTTGGAATTTTTTCACGATTATTTACAAGTGTATAATCAAGCATGCTCCACAATATGCCTCTGTGTGAACTCTATGACCATGTGAGAGGCCACTAAAACGTATTTTTGTAACATTCCACATATGTGCCAATTGTTTAATATAAGATATTATTCATTAATAAACATGTTTTCTATACATTCCTATGTAGCTGTCAGAATACCATGAATTTTCATTGGGAATGACAACTGCCACAGGAGGAAAAATAGCTGTATTTTTAATAGCATAACGCTGGAGGCAATGCCACTGGCATGTTGAATATGTATCTGCACATTGTATGTGTTTTTCAGCCATAATAGGTGATTACGGCATTTACCCCACTCGTCTGTACGATTAAATGGGGGATATTTGTCTTTGTATCTGCGAGTGTTGTGGTGAGCACTGACACAGTGGGTGAATACCAAAATACCAGCAAAACTAAAATAATATGAACCCATTGTTTCCATCAATAGAAACATGGTATTTAACCTTGTCCAGTGCATATTCTAGGCCTACTTATTTACAGATTAGCACCTGCTGCATTGTGTGAAAACACGCAACCTTCTTTGCGTGCTGTGCCGCCTTTCAAACGGTACTAGTGCCGTTAAAATATACCGCTAAATAGGACATCTTTGTATTTTTGTGTACTCTATGCAGTTTAGGAAATCACTGTACTGAAAAAAATAAGAAAACCGTACTGCAATATTTGCATTATTATTGCTGCAAAATTATAAGTGGTAGGCTCAGAGAGCATTTCTTAGGTGAGAACAGTCACCTGGTATTGAATGTGTTGTGCACATTTCAGATGTTGCCAAGTTTAAGTTTTGCCTCAGTAGCAGACCAATACTTTGAAGGTGCTTAAAAATAACTTTAATATTTCATGAAGTGTGATTAAACTCTTTTTTATGGTACTGTGCGTAGATATATTTGCCTGCTCCTCCGTACCAGGTGCAACATAATGTTGGTGACAGACTCTAACCTGGTGGACCCGGCATGCTTCCACTGAATGGTGGGGGTTTTGCTTGCTTGTCCATCTGTTTCATATTCCCTAGATATGGCCATGTTTGCTTTGCAGAGAAGAAAGCCCAGAATTGTAATGCAAAGGGTAACTCATATGAGGTCATGTTCGCATGAGAAGCTGATGAGACCTGCAAGTATTTAGTTTTGTCTTATGAAGAAAATGTCATATCCAGCGGTGGATCAGAAGAGCGATCGAAAGCTCGTTGGACATGCTGATGAGAGATTGTGCAGTCTACAATTAGTATTCCACACACGTATGATTGGGGTTGAGCGGTTGTGCAGTGGTTCGCGCGCCTATGCCTTTGAATCTAGCGACCTGAGTTTGATTCCTTGCTGCGGATAACATCAGTGGCAAGTGCTATCAGAACCAGTCATACCCTCTTCTCCTTCACCAACACACACTATCTTAGGTTATTACTTCTCAATTTAACCATTTCTTCGCTGGAATATAACATACATATATATTTCTCCACCGTATGGGTAGGTTGTGGGATTTGAGAGATATTTGTAGGTTGCAGCAAAGCTCTGAAGGCTTAAACTCTGTCTCTAAAGAAATGGAAATTCATGAGCCCTTTTTGAATATGCATAATGTATGTTGAGTTCACATCCTATAAAACATATGCTTGTTTCTAACAGCGATGGTTCTTTATATGTGCCTTGAAGTGTCTGTGTTAGTACATTTTACGTCACCTATGAGTTGTCAAATGGCATTCATATTGCAGTGTTTAAATTGTTACAGTGCGAAATGGTATTGTGAATATTTGTAATCCACTAGCTTTTGAAGCTTGCTACAAGAAAATTACCCTTAAGAAGAAAAATAACCCAAATGGAGGCTACTGTACGGTTACATATTTTCCTGTCTTCTTTTAAATAGGTGTTGTGTTGCTTTATTACAATCGGTGAAAGGCAGGCACACGCATGGCATGGCTAAAATCTAAATTCAAGAATATCGAGGTGAATTATAACTCCGTTTAGTGTCTGTGTGCTGTGTATCACAAAATGCCTTTACACTGTATATAAACGACATATAACACTTTATTCCATGTTTATTGTTGCCCTCAGGTTTAAAGCAAAGAAAGGAATATCTGTGCTCTCAATACATCCCAGTAATCCCATGGTATGGGATGTAATGTCAGATATCAATCGAGGTGCCAAACACACGTTTGCTACGATAGAGGTCGTCAAGAAGAGAGGCACAGTCAGGTAAGCTTTGTTTTTGTTTTAAACTCGAAATGTTTACCAATATATAACAACCAAACGTATGATAACTTTCATGTATATGGCCGACTGCAATTGCATTCACTGTAGCTGTAACAGGTGATTGCTGTGCAATCGTGGACATTTTTTTGCTATTTATTTCACACAGGAATATATAACAAAAAAAGCCTATGAAAACAGCTTGTGAATTGGTATTTTTTCACACGTATATCAATGTTGCATAATACTGTACCGTTTCTAAAACATAAATGCCTTATGTTAGTATCGTGCCTGTGAAAATTAAAATGATGTGGTGTATAATGTGACACTCTAGTAGTAAAATGTGTAGCAACTCAAGTTAAACCAGGAAAAATACATCTGCCGATTGGTTTTTGGGTGCTTTGTGATGGAAACATACATACCATAGGCAGCCTACTCGGTATCAGGTCATGAAATTAAAGTGCAGCAGGTCCTTTAGAAAGCACTGCAGTACTCTAATTAGTGGGGCTCTACATAGAAGACCAATTGCCCTTAATGCATTACAATAGAGTGAACCTAAAAGTCATACTTCCTGCTGATAAGTACGAGTATAACACTTTTAAACTAAGGTAAATTACATTAATCTTACTGGAGAATAAAATGGTTCTTTTGTATTAATTAAGTGCAGTACTATTGTGGGCAACGTTTAATTGCGTTTAATTACTGTATGTTTGGGTCACACTTCATTGTACATTATGGTGTCTGCCCTTTATAAGTATGTGTGTGTGTAAATTATTTACCGTACGTATCAGCAATATGATTGTTTTATATTGTGTTCATACAATATTGTTTTATCAAGTGTGTCTAAAGGCTGATATGTTAGAAAGAAGAAAGTTGAGTTTAAATGGCAACGGTAACAGTGACGTCGATTACACAATTTCATCTGAGTCAATCACGGCATAAGACAGTGACGTATCTGTTTTGTGACTAACATTATTATTCCATGAGCAGTCCATCTGCATGCATTTACTTCACATGTTTTGCTCCACCGGCTCGACTGGATTAATGTCGTCATTTGAATTAGGAGCTGCTTGTAGTGAAAGCCTGTGGCTTTCAGGCAATACAATTGTGCTTGCTAATTGTCAAAATTCTTAAATGGAGTGCTTATAAATCAGGCCTACGGTAAAAAAATGGAAGTGAAATTATTATAAAATGGTGCAATTTGAGGTAGATCTAGAAACTTCACAAGGGGGGATTGTCCGGAAATTGCAAGCGTTTTAAAAAGGGCCCCATTCACCACCCTCCATCTGCCACTGGGTGTTATTTAGACCTTTTATTTGAGGTGAAGATTTATGTTTTTTCTCTTTGTAATTGTTTGTCTTTGTAGTTATATTTCTACATTTATATGCACGTGATGAGGCTTCTACAGAATGGAACATTGATTTTGCTTTGTCCGGAAAAGTTTTGCCTTTCATCATGACAGTGTTCTTGAGCTCAGGACTCGTTAAAAATGTATGAAAGCATTGTCCAATAATTAATTTTGCCTATGAGTCTGTTTCTCTCTCTCCTCTGACAAGCACACGCAAACACAAAGACAAAGACCTCTCATTTAGCCTTATAGACTGCTCAGCACGTGATATGTTGGTGAACATTAGTTATGCGGTGTAGCTAAGCATTCTGGCTGCATTTTTCATAGGCTGCATTTAGTACTGATTTTAGGCTGAATAATACTATAGAAGGCACAGGACAGATTCCGAAAAGACTTTACCATTACTCGGAATCAAAGCCCGTTCAATGACATTGTTGCACAGTACACTAACCCCCACATCAGCAAACGCTCGCAAGAAGATACATGTGTGAACATCCACACATTCATAGACACACAATGTGAGTATAGATTGAACACAGTCCACGGGCACGATTATAGGGTTATGTATAGAATATTCCATGCATTTTTAAATTCTAAATAATAAACAGGGACTGCAATCTCATTAAACAAGCATGAATAATTTCGTGGGTTTGACTTAGTAATTTTTATTCATTATTAGTAAATTAATTAGTTTACCAACATTGTGAAAAATAAGAATTGTAAATCAAGTTGACTTTTTTACGTGTTAGTTATGTGTGGCTGTATAATCGCACAAGCATCAACCTTGAACATTGATTTAACAAAGTAAATTAATTATGTCCAAGGTATTTTTAAGGCTTTGAGGTATATGTGTGTGTACATATTAATAATGTACAGCATTATACTTTATTAATGCCATTCTGAGATGAAAGTTAGAAAAACATTTTAAGAATCGTCCTGCCAGCTTTATTAATTGATTTAAAGTAAAACATATTCAATGCGTCCAGTGTATAAACAGCATACAAGACGCTAAACTGCATGTCTAGAATTTCACTTTATAGTGACCAATTTCATACTTTTTTCACGTAAGTTACAATTTTTTTTGCTGGTTTTAGAAAATTTATTTCACACTCAACATAGGTGAGCAATGGAATGTCACATAATTGGTGTAGTGCTGGCTGGTGACTGTTAAAAGCTGCTAGAAATGATAGCAAGACAGAACTCGTGCAGGGTCGAATGCTGTTTGATAAGGAGTTTTCTTTGGTTACCACTGAAATGTTTTAGATTCCCCACAGAGAAAATGTTCCACAACTTTAACCCATATTTTGTTTTTATTCTGTAACATCCTTTATTTTTTTAAATACCACACTCTTTGATTTACTGTACTATTTGCACTTCCAATGAGTACGGTTTTTGCTGCATGCGGTGCGAACTGGAATGGCAATTACAGAGGTTACATTTCCCGGCGTGGGAGTTGATTCAACGGTGCACGTTTCTTATATCACCCACGTATTTTCGTCTCGCAGTATAAATAGTTACAACGGCAAGTCACGAGCTATGGGGTAAAGAGTGGGCACTCCCACCTCATACAAGTTATCTGGCAAGCATGGAACAGAAAGCCATGTCACCTTCGAGTTATGCTCTCTAGAGACATGTACTGTCAGCAGTGGCTTCAACAAGTAATTGCAGGGCTGTCACTTAACCCTTTACCTGTAGGACACCATTTCCAATGTAATGTGTTTAAGTGGCATAACGGCAGTATTTTCTATCATCAAGTGTTACATCATGCTTTTGTGAACATTTTAATGAACAAAAATGTAAATACAATTGAATTATGGGGCATATGTAACCACAATTAGAATATAATGACGTAACTAACCTTTAAAGGTTAACTCTAAGAAAAGCCGTATTGGGTGTGGACCAATCAATTTCAAGGATAGTGCATATCATTATCAGAGTTGTCTCTTTTTGTTTGCATTTTGACTGCTTGTGTTGTGGTTATGCAAACATGATCCCTTATATAAAGGTGTCAGTTTTGGTGCCAGATAAAAGGGTAAAAACCTATTACTATATCTTGCTACTGGCAATGGAGGTCTCATAATGTACTCTTTGTTTTTTTCGGTAAAGTCACGTAGGTAAAAAAAAACAATAAAATAAATAAAAACAACTAAATTAAATCACGACGTTTCAGAGGCAACACAAGCTTCCGTCTTCAGGTGGAAACCGTCACAGCAAAATTGCTGTATCAAGTTGATACAGCAATCTGAAGATGGAAGCTTGTGTTGCCTCCGAAACGTCGTGATTTAATTTAGTTATTTCATTTATTTTATTTTATTTATTTTTTACCTACGTGACTTTACCGAAAAAAACAAAGAGTATGAATCCTTGCAGTCACGAAAGCTTCAAATCAAGGCATAACTACTTTAAAATAGTAAATACGTGTAAAGTAATATCCTGTTATGGTGTATACAATCACAGGGATAGTAACATGTCCATATTGCACATCGCATATTAGCATTGCCATTGCACTCATAAAGCAGCAGTCAGGCATGCTCTCAACAAATCACTACGGGATGGGTTAATCAATAATTTCATTTTTCGACCTTTCAATATGGACTTGTTATGTTATACATAGCCCCACTTAGATGTCTTACCAAGTGTTCGCCTGTATGTCTAATAGCTTTGATTAATGGTGGTCAAAAGCGTGCTTTACTCTGAAAATTACCATTATAGTTATTATTTTACCTACTTATATATTTATTTCTTATGATATTGTGACAGGTACTGACGTTTTCATTCTTAAAAGAAAAAAAAACATCTTTAAAGCCTACAGTCATGGTTGAACTCTTATTATGTATACGCATACTCTATACAGTACATAAGCCCATGTCATATAATATCTTTGAGCACAAAGCCCTTTACCTCTGCATTGTATATAGCCTAAACATAATTTGTTGACAATATTCATCAGAGGAGCAGTGGTATAACGGCTAGCCCACTGTGTTGTCGCTAATATCAGTCGAAAGTGATATCAGAACTTATGCTGCCCACTCCAACCTGCGTTGATCAGCGTGGTGAAGTATGGTCAAAAAGCCCTCATGACCGACTTCATCCATTGGTGGATTGAAAATGGCTACACTTTATTTTACTTCATATACACATGGATGGCTGCTACCATTTTAATGAGGGAGTGCAAGTGAACCATGGAAAACTCTGGCCTGATCCCATAGGAAACATTGATGTTTTACTCTTTAAAAAACGCACTATAGATTATATTAAAGTACCTACCTTTAATAATTTAACTAATGGTCATTATCATAATGTGTTCTTTAGTGTCTAGCTGTTTAAAATAATTGCGTAACCCCTAAGGTAACCTTAAACACCTTCACCTTTAAAGGCTTAATGTATCACGTGATGTGACATGCTGGGTGCTGCTCGTGGAAAATTGTGGGTTGAATGTGAGTATGCAGCTTTTGAGGGCTTCGCTTATTAAATTCCCATTTAGGTGTGTTAATACTGTGCAGTATTTTCAGATGCCATGCTATCATTTAAGCAAGCACTTTTCCAGGTCTGAAAATACTTATGATTTGGATTGATCACCTCTAGTCTCTTAGTCCTTTGGACCCATAAGTGTTGGCACACATCAATAAAAGGGCTTAACCATGCAGTTGACTTGAAT